AAAAAAAAAAAGAACTTAATGAACGTGGCTGCTTCAGGATGGAGAATGGAACAGAGATAATGGAGTCAGGTAGTTCTGGGGGACATTGGTAGTCCTGCCTAGCCACTGTGGGAAGACCTCGTTAACCTCCTACTAGTATGCGGTTGCAACATACTAGCACAGGGGTCCTCAAATTTTTTAAACAGGAGGCCAGTTCACTGTCCTTCAGACTGTTGGGGGGCCAGACTGCGGGCCCCAGGATGAATTAGCTGCTAAGCAGGACAGGCAGCAGTGGCAAAAGCACCCAGTGGGCTGGATAAATGTCCTAGGTGGGCTGCTTGTGGCCTACAGGCTGTAGTTTGAGGACGCTTGTTAGCATCTGAGCCTCCAAATGCTCTGTAAAAGATACAGAAAGTCTTTTTTAGGGTAAGGACAGTGCACTCAAGCAGGGTCTGTACTTTTTTTTTCTATAAAGGGCCAGTTGTTATTCTTATTGACCAGTAATTATTTTGGGCCCTCTGAGCCATACTATGTCTGTCACAGTTACTCAGCTCTGCTATTATAAAGCAAAAGGAGCGATAGACAGTCCATGCACTAATAGATGTGGCTGTGTGCCATGATACCTTTATTTACAAAAAAAAAAAAGCAGCCAGATTAGGCCAAGGCTATAGTTTGCTCTCCTACATGCTAAAACAAGTTAATTTATTCATTCTTTCCTTCATCTGCACATTTGCTTGACAGACATTTCCTAAATGCCAGACCCTATTCTAAGGGCTGGAGACATCCACAAGAAAATGATCTAATCCTTATCCTCAGGGAGCTCTTAGGCTAGTTGGTATGATATTTGCATTAGCAAAAAATTTTATTATAACTTGGTAAATGAATGTAGGTTAAGATACTATCAGCATGAGGTAAGATATAGAGGATAAAGGGACAAATGGGAATAATAGGAGTTGAGGAAGGGTACCATATATCAGAGTTCTTGGATGCAAGCAACAGAAACTGGGGCTGATAGAAGCAGGAAAAGGCATCTATTGAAAGATATTGGAAAACTCATTGGATTAGCAGATGACTGCCAAACGTGGCTTGGAAAATAGGTAGGAACCATAGGACCCAGTCAGCAGTGAACAGAGCCAGGGTCACACTGTGGGTCTGGTTAGGATGCTACACTTGACACCATCACCCCTGAGTTGGGATGTGCCTGTCTCTGGGCTTACATCAAATTTCTCTTGTGTTTATGTGCCATTCTGGCATGCATTCAAGGCCCTTGCACCTTTTAGCATTCCTTAAGATTCTAACATCCAGGCCAGGAGCAGTGGCTCATGCCTGTAATCCTGGCACTGTGGGAGGCTGAGACAGGAAGATTGCTTGAGGCCTGGCATTCAAGACCATCCTGAGTAAGAGTGAGACCCTGGCTCTACAAAAAGTAGAAAAATTAGCTGGGGCGATGGTACGTACTGATAGTCCCTACTCTGAGGTTGCAGGAGAAAAATCACTTGAGCTCATTTAATGTTGCAGTGAGCTATGATGATGCCATTGCACTCTGGCGCAAGGCTCTGTCTTTAAAAAAAAAATCCTAATGTCCATTGACAAGGCCTGGGTGTTAGGCTTTGTCCATCCAGGAGGGATGAGAGAGTGCATTTTTCTTTCTCAGAAAGAGTTCTTGGATACTGACTGGCCAAAAAATAATGAACATACTCATTATAAAGGTTTTGTGGCAAAAAAATGTGATCCTTATCTTTAGATTCAGTGATTGCCAGTAGGTATAAATGTTTGTTGAAGCAAACCCCAGATAATGGTTGAGTTCAGTGAGGCAGAGCTGTCACTGTGATAACTCTTCCTTTTCCAGTGTACTGGACACGACCACTCCCACTCCCACCCTCTTCGGATAAACAGAATGTCACTCACTATTGGCCAGACACGCTGTTCCTTCTCCCCCTTCCTAAATGCTTCTTACTCGCTGCTGCTGTTGCTGTTTTGACTAGGTTAGGGAGCAGAAGTTATTCTAGGTGACTGTCCTATCTCCTGGCTATCGACTGTCAGCTGCTTGAGGACAGTGGTTGCTATCTTGCTCTTCCTTACAACCTCAGGCTCTGGAATGCACAGCACAAAGGACCCAGTACCTGTTTCCCACGATGCCGGCCCCTGACTTTGTGGAACACATTGGGAGGTACTGTTGTGGCTGATAACTTCCACACTAAGCTGTTGCTCAGCATTGTCTGAGGAATGCAGATCTCCCTTAAGCTCACTTTTTTTTTTTATTTTGAGACAACGTATTGCTCTGTCACCCTGGCTAGAGAATGCAGTGGCATCATCATAGCTGACTGCAACCTCAACCTCCTGAGCTCCAGTGATCTGCCTGCCACAGCTTCCTGAGTAGCTGGGACTTTACTCAAGTGCTCCATACCCAGTTAACTTTTCCTTATTTTGTAGACAGGGGATCTCACTATGTCTCTCAGGCTGGTCTTTGACTCCTGATCTCAAGCCATCCTCCTGCATGGCCTCCCAGAGTGCTAGAATTACAGCCGTGAGCCATCGTACTGAAGCACATTTCCATCAGTCACTCTCTCAAACCTTCAGCAGCTTCTCATTTCCCCGTGAACTCTTTTCCGTAGCTTTTGAGGTCCATCAGTTCTTCCTCTGCTGTTTCACCAGTAGACACCCCTGCTCTCATAAGGCTGCCCAGAAACAAGCCTCACTGAGGTCTGATTCTGATTCTCAATCGTGAAGGATGTCCTCCCTCTTTCCTTACAGTGGTTCGGAACTAAGAACATCCTTAGGTCCATGAAACCTGCCCATTCCTGTCCCTTACAATGCCAGCCTTCCATGTGGCTGAACTGTCACAAGTGTCCAGTGTGTCCTTCAGTGGGCGGTTATTCCTGGTGTGTGCTTATAGGCTCTGTCTCTTCACTTCCCCAACAAGACTGTGAGCTGCTCAAGGGATTCTATCTCAAAGTGTGCTTGGTGCATTTCCAGACCCACAGGGCTCACAAGTATGTGTTAGAGGACTGACCCCCTCTTACCAGGTGCATTCTCCACCTCCAAATTTAAATATGTATTTAGCGATACTGAGAATGAAGTATCTATCTGAAAAATGCCAACCCAAACAAAGACTTCAATGAAATTGTAGTGTCTCCTGGTGAATCCTGCTGCTGATACTGAGTCACTACTCGTTTGTGGTGATTCTAACCTATACTTTATGATTCACATGCTAAATATGGGGTGAGGTTTTTACTGAGAAACTAATTCCAGTGTGAACTTAGCCTCACAGTTATATTGGGTTCTTCTGTGGGTTTCCAGTTGCTGGTGCAGCACTTCTCAAGGCAGAGTCTTATGGCTCATGGGATGTGGCTGTTCACAGCAAATACCTAGAACCCACGGCACAGGGCTATGGCAGGGATTCTGTAATACATTCCTTCTACCAGCCTTTTCTGGGACTACTGACTGTAACCAGCCCGTGTCTGATCTGGGATGGGTAAGCTAAAGAAGGTGGATAAATCTTTGGGGCTCTTCTTCCATTCATACTTTCTGAGTATGGATCGTGGTTCTTCAGCTAGAATGCACCTGTGTCTATAAAGAGGAGAATTAAGAATCTGCCTCAGGGCTCTGTAACTGAGCACTTGACTCCACTTAGCACCTAGGGGAACTGTTTCAACAATGACTGAAAAGGAAAATCACTAAAACCAGAATGTATAGATGGCAGAAATGGGATGATTTCATGAAATATGCATTCTAGTCCCAAGACTTCCACTAAGAAAGTGGGTGAGTCATTTAACATCAGCAGTAGTGACGGTGATGGCTAACATTTGTAAAATGTTTGGAATGAGGCTTGGCACACAGAAAGCCCTCTGTAAGGTCACCTGCTATTATTATTATTGTTATAGTTGCAGTGCATTTATTCTGCTTGGTACTAAGCACTTGGCATACAAGTATCTCATTGAATCCTTAGAATTATGAAGGGAGTTTTATTATTCTTGTTGTACAAGGGTGAACTGAGGCTTATGAAAGGTTGAATTAGGAATCTAAAACTGTGCAGGACTCAAATCTGAACAGTCTCACTCCTGGATCTGTGCTCTCAATCTCTGTTGTTACACTTGATTTCCTTGTTATGGATGTAGTTTCTCATCTATAAAATTTAAAAGCTGGACTGTTGATCTTTATAACCTTTTAGTTCTTGGCCAGGTGTAGTGACTCATACTTTGAACCCAAACACTTTTAAAAGCCAAAACAGGAAGGTCACTTGAGGCTAGGAGTTCAGGACCAGCCTGAGTAACATAATTGCCTATCTCTATGAAGAAAATAAAAAGATTTCTAAAAGATTAAATAAAGCCCTCTAGTTCTAAAATTTCTAGGTATATTCCCACTCCCTTTACCCTTTCCTTCTCTTCTTCCCCTGTCCTGGCTTGTAGCCCATTAATCCATGAATTTAGCTGGGTTCATCATCATGGGATCAGCAGGATGTTTTCCCCGTTGAATTATGATACTGCCTGTGTCAGCACATGAACTTGTATTGTGGCTTTTAATTTTTATTGTTTTGGAGAAGTGGGGAGGGGCTGGTTTACTTGCTGCTGTTACTGAGAGAGGAGGAATCTGACTCTTCAATTTTGCTGTCTTATCTTGGCCTGCAGCCATTACCACACTGAGTGACACACTTGAGAGGTCTTGAGAAGCCTGTGGGAATCAGCTCTTTGTGACTGTGGGCTCCTTCCTGCTGCTGTTCAGATCTGGCTTAGGAGACCTGTACTTTCCAGGCTGTTTGCACATGTCCGGTCCTGCGATTGGTAAGGATCTTAAGAGAGGGGCCTGGAGAACTTAACAGGCTTTCTATCCTTATGTACAGCTTGAGTGTTCTGGCAAACTTCCACACAGAGAGTGTCCCAGGGCACTTC